GCTGCGGGAGTCTCACTTTTCTCGGATTTGCAAGTCCAAGACGGAGGCAGGCTCTGGGGGCGCTGGGCTGCAGCGGCCTTCGCCCTCTAGGGAGGTTTCTCCGGGGGGACACCTTTGGGGTTTTTCTCCAAAACACTCAAACCCTAAACCACAAAAAAGGGTTTTGATTCCCTTTTGGGTTCTGTTTTGTTCTTTTGTTCAACTGCAATTCCATTGGCGATCAAAAGGGACGAGAATCCAGATTTTTACATGCATTTTGACCCAAGAAAGCACCAAACCCTAAACCCTAAACTTTGGACCCTAAACCCTAAACCCTAAACCCTAAACCCTAAACCCCAAACCCTGAGGCCCAAACGCGAAACCATAAATCCTGAAGCCCAAGCCCGAAACCCTAAATCCCTAGCCCAAAACTCTAAACCCCAAACCCTAAACCCTAAACCCTACCTTGGGGACAGGGTTTGCAGATTTGCTGTCCCTGTGGGGAGAACTGCGAGGGTTTTTCGCAGGGGACTTTTTCGAGGGGAGTGGGGCAGGCGAAGTTGGGGGGACACGGGAGACAGTCTGCTGTTCCCTGAGGGACACAATTAGGGTTTAGGGTTTAGGGTTTAGGGTTTAGGGTTTAGGGTTTGGGGTTTGGGGACTGGGGGTGCGGGCTGCCGCTCAGCAGGGGCGCCAGCCCGCAAAGGAACTCCACACTCCCTTGCTGCCGCCGCAATATACCCGCGGAAACCCTAAACCCTAAACCCTAAACCCTAAACCCTAAACCCTAAACCCTAAACCCTAAAGCTGGTTGTAAGGCTGCGCGTTGCTGAGCTGCGGGCTTCAGCAGCACCCTGCGTTGGCCTGAGGGGGCGCTGCGTAGGGCTAGGGTTTAGGGTTTAGGGTTTAGGGTTTAGGGTTTGGACCTCGGGGGAGTACTCTCCGGGGCTGCAGGGCTGCAGCAAATTTGCTGCTGCTATTGAGGTGTCTGTACACCTGAAGCCCGAGGGACAGCTGGTGCATGCAGAAGAAGCCAAAGAACTAAAAGTCCCTTTTGGACAGCGCTGAAAGAAAGAAAAGATAATTTAATTCTTTTAAATTAATTAAAAACAATTTAATTATATTTAATCAAAAAAATATATAATTTATACATGTTTAATTACAAAGATGTAATTTAGTTATATTTGGTTTAAAAGGATATATAGTTTTTATATATTTAAGCATGTTCAGCGCTGAAAGAAAGAAAAGATAATTTAATTCTTTTAATCAATTAAAAATAATTTAATTTTATTTAATTAAAAGGGATAATTTGATTCTTTTCAATTAATTCGAAATAATTTAATTGTATTTAATTAAAGGAATAATTTAATTATTTTCAACTAGTTCAAAATA